CCCCCCCCCCGCCACCCACCCTGTGCACTTTTTCCCCTGCCAATCTTGCCCTTGTTGCATCACGAGCTTCCTGTCCCCTTTTTCCCCTGCCAATCTTGCCCTTATTGCATCTGCCAGACCATGACCCGATGCGGGTTCTTTTGAACCGTGAAAAAAAAGGACGAAAATTAAGAACAACATAAATTTGAGAGGGGCTTCCTCGATAAGCATTTTCAGGCCGGGCCATCGGGACCCCGCTTTAACCCCGCGGAACGTTCGACACTTTAGGATGCGAGGAGAAACGTTTGTCGTCGTGGCAGCCAAGGAGTGAACGGCACCGAAAAAGTACGAAAAACGGCCTTTTCGTGAGGAGAGCTCGACCCTTACCCTCACGAGAAAAAGAAGGGGCAGTTCACTCCCTGGCCAGGGATTGGGTGAGAACCGAGAGAAGCGGACGTGAAGTTTCCGTACAGGGAAAGTTTTCCATATCCGATAACTGGCACCAACGGAACTGTCGAAAATTTGCGCTGCAGTGGGATCTGCTTTTCTCTTTCCCACCTTCGGGGCCTACGATTTGGGTTTTCCGAGAGCTTTCCAGGCCGAATTTTGCCGCAAAGCAGCGGGGCAGTTCATGAAAAGAGGGCAAGTCGTTTTGTTTTTTACTCGGGTTTTTTTTTTTTTTTTTTTTTTTTGCACTCTTCAAATTTCCTTTTGACTAAGGGCACGCTCACACTAGGTACCCAAATTCCCAAAAAAATGGGAAAATGGGAACGGTCGTTTTGAGGAAATGCGACCCTGGCCGGTCATAGAAAACGCGGCCGTTTTGAGGAAATGCGGCCCTGGCCGGTCACCCAAATTCCCAAATTCCCAACAGACTAACGACAAGGTTGCTACATGGCTCTCTGCGAGGTGCTTGTGGAGGGCGCCGGTCACACTGTGAATACCTCAAATGGGAAATGCAATTATTCGTTATTTTTAATCTGTTTTTTCCTTCTTTTTTTTTGCATCCAACATCTGTCCCTACGTGCGCCTGACCACTCTGTGCGTGCGCCCATTTCCCCAAACCTTGTGTGAGCGTGCCCTAAATCGAACTTTTCCTCGGGCTCCGAGGACACCCCAAGGAGTGTCGAACGAGCCCCTAAGTACCTGTTGGATCAGGTACTTGTCGAATGAGCCCTTAAGTACCTGTTGGATAAGGTACTTATCCACGCTGAACGGAGAGCGGAAAGCGGAAAGCGGTGCGGAGCGGGGAGGGGAGCGCAGCG